GGCAAAGGCTCTCACCAAGGAACATCTCTGACCATACTTGGGATTTAACTAGGATTCTAAGTATTAATTATATAACCACTTACATAAGCTAATACCAAATAAGGTCTATATGAGCTACATACTGTTCTATTACATATTTCCTCTGGAATCTGGTTTATTTTTTAACCACCACATTTGTAAAATTCGTTTCCCTATCTCCATATAGTTTGTTACCATACCAACTGCGTTCAGTGGACATAAGGTCTGTGCATCAGTGCTGATGGATGTCCTTGTTAACTGTGCCAGGGCAAAAGACCTTTTCTTAATATTTATTAACACTTACCTCATGAATAATTCATACAAAATTAGCTTCAGATCTGATTCGATCCTATCCCGTCCTTTGAGATCCATTAACAGTCATGTGTATTTGGGTAAAATCTAACAGATGCGTGTACTGTATTAGTTCTGTATGTGTGTGTATGTCATGTGCACAAAGAAAAAAAAATCCACTGTTTTCTTGACTGTACTCATATTGATTAATCTCAATAGAATAATTGCAACAGGAGAAAATGCATATTGTGAAACACAAGGCCAGCCATCCGCCTGATCTTCCCAATTTTACAGGGAGAAAAACAGAAGACACCATTCTCCTCTAATGCAAACAGGTCCAGTGCTGCATGGCCATGCCATTTCCAAATCTGACCCACAATGTCGGGGTACAGTTTTCATTCTGCATAAAGGGTATCAGTTTGTGTGCCTTGTGTAAATCTGTGTGACTCTCAGGAAAACAGCTCTCGCTACAGGTATCAAGGTCATCATCAGACCACTAGGAGCGGACAGACAATCAATTTTGACAGGGGGGCATTTTTTTCACCTGATCCTTTATTAAGTACACTATATTAGTGTTATTATTGTTACATGAAAGACAAAGTGTAACAAAGAATAAATACATGTAGGCTAAGTACATACAGTCAATAATTTGCACAAGCGCACACACACACACACACACACACTCACAAACTATAGTATAATGGCCAACATAATATACATGAAGTAACAATGCACAGGAGAAGATCAGTTACATGTTTTCCATGTAATACCATGCAACAAAAAGCAAAAATACAGGTGCATCTCAATAAATTAGAATATCGTGGAAAAACCCATTTATTTCAGTAATTCAACTCAAATAGTGAAACTCATGTATTATATAAATTCAGTACACACAGACTGAAGAGG